AGAGAGAGGAGAGGGAGAGGGAAAGAGAACAGGGCGAGAAAGAAGGAAAGCCGCTCATTATCAAGAGAAACGTACAGTGATAGTCACAGTAAAATATAATTCGGAGGCGAACTGTGATTCGAGATAGATTTTATATACACACAAAGATACGCGCTCACACACGAATTGAAATACCCAATGCAGATATGCTACAGCACCTAACTGCAGCAGCGTGAAGCGGATAAGTGTGCTGCGGCTGTGCCGTCAGGATTTCACTGGCGGATTTCACTAGGAGGCTTTATCCGTGACAGAAATTGTTCCGTCTTCACGGAAACGCTCGAGTCACTAGAGCAGTGACTTCGCGATATGAGACTTCGTGCTGTGTCGTGCCGACAAGCTCGGACCAGATATTATCAAGCGAAATGAAATTCAGCGAGTTACGGCTTATGTCGACGTAACGATGTCTCAGCCCAGTGACGAAGATGTAACGGAGGAACCGCGAGAGATGAGCTATCGAGAGTGGCATCCGCGTGGTAAAAAGCTGCGTATCGTCGAATTGTTACTATCTTATTACCGTTGATGTTTTAATCGCTTCATTGTTTTCCATCATCTTCTAGCAAAAAATAATGACGATAATCCAAGAATGAATTTAAGATTTACAACAATGAGAAAGTTTTACAGTGTAATCACATTAATATATATATATATATATATATATATATATATATATATATATATATATATATATTAAAATGTAATGTATCAAAGCATTAAATTTTATTCACACATCTTTATAGACATAAACAAAATTTTTCAATCTTTTTTAATAACATAGAATAACACAAAATATTCAAATTTTCTTCTTAATTTAAATTTGATTAGATACTGTCTTTTTGAAAAATAAGCATTACTACACTTTAAAACTTTATATAAATATATAAAACATTTTTTAATTAAAATAATTAAAAAGATAAACGTATGCGTATATTATTCAGCTATTGTAATACGCTATTTGTTTTCTTTATAATAAGTAAATATTACTGTTAGAGCAATAATTTCTTGCAAATGCAGACAAGATCATAGAAGGAAGTTTATTGAGATTTTTTGGTCCAAGAACTCTGATGCTCGCCGTCTTATATCCTTTCGTTTTTCTCTTCGTTCTTGCTGGTTTCAAGTGCATGTTCTTGCCAAAGGAAGTCCAGGGGAAGGACATATCGAATCGTCATTCGAATGCAGCTCGCGTAAGCGAGAACATCCGGTTGCAAAGACGTGCGACGATTTTTGCGGTGTCCGTAAATGATGCTATATTTTCAACATGATCTCAACGTAGCGATTTTTTTCTTCAAAATCGAGTTTTTCGTGAGAAAGTTGAATTATTATTATTACGTGCTCGTCCTTGGCAAATAGTCATACGATGCGTAAGCTTTTCGGAAGAGCCAGCCAAATTTTCATTCATAGATAAAATTCAGTACGACGATCACAAGTTCTTCAATGAAAAAGACAAGTAATCAGGCGGATGCACTAATAATCTTAATGTATTCTAATATATTCAAACTTTTTTAAATTTTTCTTAAATTTGCATTAAGAAAGTAACAAAAACATTTATCTGCTAAAATATTTCAAAATTTTTTTTATATAATATTTTTTATATTATTTTTTATAATATTTTTATATAATATTTTTATATAATATTTTTTATATAATATTTTAATATATTTTATATAATATTTTTTTATAATATTTTTTATAATATTTTTTTATATAATATTTTAAGAAGTTTAGTTTTTTTAGGAATAAACAAATTTTATGAAATGGATTGTATTAAACTAATAATTATTTAATTGCATAAATTATAATAAATCAAATTTATTCTATTACTGATGGTTTTCACATTTCTGAAGAATTTAACATTGTAACATTTCTTTTGAGAATTCTTGGACGCATTGAATTCTGATGAAAATGCAAAAATAGACATACTTGCACAAATCGATTTTTAGAAGAGATTTTCGAGCGAACTGAGTCATCATCAAGTGACATGTTGAAATCTGTTTTTGCAAACGTTCGATAGATGAGTTTCTTAAGTTATTAAAAATACTACTCATTTTACCTAAAGTACTCTAATAAAAGGTCTCTGCAACCACGTACGCCGTTCTTGGCATGAGCTTGACGTCTAGAATAGACAAACTATTTTTGAGAACACATTGAGGACTATTTATATCCAAGAATAAATATATCAACAATCGTTATACGATTGAGAGTCAACGTTTTCTTGATCATATTGATACATTACCTGCGATACAATTAAATTATAAAGAAATTATACAAAATTCAACAATGTTTGATTGCAACTAGATTTTATGATAATAGATATTTATTATCATAAATTAATTATAATATATATAATAGATATTTATTAATAATAGATATTTATTATCATAAACATTAGAGGTAAGCAAAATTAATGTCTAATATTAATAAAATTGTTACACATGAATCACAATCACGGCTTCGATAACGTGTAGACACGTATAAAAGCATGTTACGTGGATAATAGCATGATCCTGTGGTTACCCAGAGTGATGTCTAAATTCGCATAGTCAAGTGAATTGGTCCATATACCGACGACGTACACATACAATTGTGCAGGCAAACACACATGCAATGGGAAATCGGGATATCTAACTAGAGCTGAAAGATAGAGCGTATCCTAACGATCGGTCTTGCCGGAATAATTCTCGGATAAGTTTTGTACGTGCGGGGAAAGTGAAGTCACATTTGCATCCCTATGGCCTCATTATAGATCGCATCGCGTAGATAGAAATTTACTGGAAATAGCGGCGACACGTTTCGCCCTCGTGACTTTCTGAGAACTATGTCTTCTTGTCGTGGCACACATGTTTATGTACATGAATAATGTTAAACTATTCTTAATTATTTCCGTTTGATAAATAACAAAAAAAAAGAATTATAAATTAAGTGAAGTGCTAAAATCAACTGTATGTGTTGTTTAATATATTTATTATATTATATTTAGATTAAGATTATTTGTTACTTTTCTCTTCAAAGATTTCTGTTTATCTTTTATCACTACAGTGTTCTAAAAACTGTATTACTGTGTTACTGTATCTTATCTACTATATTACTGTATTTTTTTTTAACGCAAGTATTATATTACATGAAAAAAATGCTTTGTAAGCGCTACCAGCGGCAGTTCTAACGTGATGATCAATAAGAAAACAACGTATCTCAGTTTGACGAACAATTTGGCTCTAAGCCAAACTGACTTCCGGGGCTAACGACATTGGAATATTTGTCGAGTAATCCATCCGACCATAAAAGACTTTTGCGTTGCGAAATTTACAGCAACAGAGACAAAAATACGGTTTATGTATTATTGTGCCGCGTGTATTTTCAAAGAAAAGCTGTAATGAAACAAGAACTGATATAATTGAAATGTTATATGCTAATTATTATGAATTAATATTATGAGTCACGTAGGATAATATAATGCCCGAGCATATGTCCGTGCGGTATCCCAAGTATCAAATTGCACGCATAATTATTGGTTCATTGAGTTGCGAAATATCGCAGCATCTATATATTAATCGTGGTTATTGGTTAACCAAAATCATAGTAAAGTAAATTCAAAGCATTATCATTTTAAATCAGTCAGTAAAATAGATTTGCCTACTCTCACAATACATAATTTTATACAATCTGTCAAATATTTTAACGATGAAAACTACATTAATCTCCCATTCATAAAATTTGATTAATTTGATTATCAGAAAGAAGGAAAAACTATTTTTTATGTCTAATTGAAAGATATTTATATTTTGTTATTTTTTTATATTTTATTATTGACACAATTTACTTATTAATTAATTATTATTAATGACCAAAACTGATTAACAATGGCAACAAATTTGTTTTTTTAAAACCTGCTTAAAATATAAAATAGAGCTATTTTTTATGACCACAAATAAAATTTATATACAGTGTGGATCAAAAATAACAAGCATTTGTACAAAAAAACTCTTCAGTAAACAATACTGACGAACGACGTGAAATATATGTATATTCGCTAGTCTAACTGTTTGACACTTTTATGATGTTTTATTATTATGTTAGAAATTCTATGAGAACGGCCATCAAATTTGTCTCTCTCCTCCGTTCGCATCCCTCTTTATGGTATACTCGCTAACAGTGCACCATCTGGCTTCTCTTGTTTCAGCTGACAAAGGTATGCTACTGAAGCTCGACTTTCGGGACGAGTTCAAGCTCGAAGACAGCGCGGATTGCCGTTTCGATCACCTCGAGATACGTGACGGTCAGTATGGTTACTCTAATCTCATCGGTAACTTCTGTGGCACGAATTTTCCCCCCGAGATCACGTCGAAGACACGCTACCTCTGGCTGCGATTTCACAGCGACGAGAATATCGAAGGCACGGGATTCAAGGCTGTATGGAGCGTGATACCAAGACCGACCTATCGTAAGTCTCAGAGTCACAAAATCTTATCTTTGCAGAGGATTTTTTTTTTTATAAATTTTTTTATTAATTTTGGTAAAAGATTAATTTCGAATTAATAATTCTTAAATCCTTTATCAATAAAGTATGAAAGTAAACAAATAATGAATGTTGGTAATGTTCTTTGAAAAGAAATATTATTTTAATAAATATTTTGATTATTTAAAACATTAAAAATTATTGACAAGAATTTATTTAAAATATTTAAAAAAGTGTATTTTTATTAAAAATTTATTTGAGCAATTCTTTCATATTTTATTGGTACTACTTAAGAGCTTTCTGCATGCATCAGAACTTTGTCTTGATTATGGTTTCGCCTAACTCTGATCTATTGCCGGTCTTCTTCTGGGATATAAGATATATTTTTTGGATCCGTAACCATGGATTAAACCGATCGATACAACAAACTCAAGATCTCGCTCTAACTTTCCTCGGTCCTCACACTTGTTCGCATGATTCTCACATACAAGGCAAGAGAGAACTTGTTGCTAAGATAATTGATTCGACACAATGACAATTGAAATTAATAATTGAAATTAATTTGCCATTAATATTAACATAATAATTCATAATAATGACTTAATCGATATGAAGTGATAACATAACTGGATCTTTCTATTTTACTTCATCGTATAAGCTGCTACATTATTTATGATAAGTATAGAAAAATTTAAAAAAAATAATGAGAAAAGAACAATTTCTATGTAAATACAAGTTAAATGTGATATTTACCAATAGATACAAAAAAGAAGAAGGTACGAAATAAAAAGACATTTAAACATGTATATTGTTACATTATAATTGTTCTTAATTATAATAGAATCAAATACTGAATAAGATAATTTCTCTTCGTATTATATCAAGACAGATATACTCAAAGGAAATATACAGATAACATGACAAGCGTAATAATAATTAGTAATATGAAGATGTATACACCAATCGCGAATAATCAAGGATGTCGCATGTCCTTATTCAGAAAATTATGAAACACGAGAGAAATAGATGCCCGTGACAGCGAACATTGTGTAACACACAACCGAGATCAAAATTAATTCATAGTCCAACCAACAGCAAAATAAAAGGAAGCTTTTTGAATATCTGAAGTATGACAATAGTGATCCTAGTTTATTTAATCATGCAATCTTTAGATTTTAAAAATTAACGTAAAATGAAGGATAGAGATGAATGTGACCAATGAGATCAAAGTTGAAATTTTTATTCGTTGTATGATTGATTAATTCACATTTGTTAAAGTTCAATATTAATTCCCAATATTGAAACATTTCATATCGTGTGTGCTATTCGTTCGGTATTGTCAGGATGAATCTTTGTTAAATGTTCCATTTTTAATTAGAAAGAAAAATTAATGAAGTATTATAAATTGAAATGTTTTATTTCTCATGTTTTTTCTCATGCACTTCTAAATTGATTTAATAATTTTGTTACAAAAGAGGAAAGTAACAAGTGAAATAAATTAATTTTTTTGTTAGATAAATAAAAATCTCATTAAATGACTAGCTTCTTACCAAAATCGCCGAATTTTTAACTTTTTCACAGATTTAGCTTTGTGTTATTACGCTAATTTTTTATATAGAGATCTCGTCAATTCGTTAAAATATCTAAATCGTAATTGGCGCATTAAAGCTGTCGCGTCATAACTGTTTATATCTACTAGTTGGATTTACGAAACGTTTATATCACTTAAAGAATTGGCATTTGGAGAAAAGTCATATTACATAGAATAGGACATAACTCTTATTTCTTATTTACGAATGAAAAATTATTTAAATACCTTAAAGACAGATAAATATTGATATAAAAATGAAACAAAAGTGAAACAAGAATGAATTTTTTGCTGCTGATCTCATATATATGTGAATATGTTAATCCACTGTAAGGTATTAAAACATAAAATATTATAAAAGTTATGCATCAAAAAGATAATATTCATTAAATCATATGAAATATGGCACGTTTTTTAAGACTTTTTTACTTCTGTAACGTCTATTAATAATATCTATTAATAATATCTATTAATAATATGGAATAAACATTTTGTATTCAGTTGCTCAATCTAATAATAATAACAGTAAAATAATAGACAAATATACATTCCAATATAGCAGCATTAATATGCGAACCTAGAGAAAGTGTAGAACTGTAATAGGTATGATTCACAGCTGGCGTACTACCGGAACCAGAACCGTGCATATATTATAAGTCGGATAAGCAGATAATAATTCATAGCAACGACATCGAGGCTAGAAGGATTCAAGCCGAACAACAGGGTTTTGCGCTGGATTGTATGTGGGTCATTCAAGTGATGAACGAATCGAAGGTAAAAGCGTTTTTTCTTTCATATTACATCACTGAATTACCGAGATATATCATATCATTGTCGAAAATTTAATATCCGATGAGTTACCGATGAGCATATAAAGCGTTTCTCCCAATATTTCTCTATCGCCATATAATGTTGCAATCCTTATTTGATCCAAGTGCACTTTACTACGCCGTTCAATCGATACGAATGTTTGTTATTGGCCTGCAGCAACGTGATTTCAAACGCCGTTTCGCTCAAAGTAACACGTTTCTGAATGATTTACAATAGCTCTTTGCTGCCATGGTGCAGAAATAACGGAGCGGTTTTATGCAAATACTTTGTCTACGATACATCCGTTACAAAATTTACATGGCGGCTGATAACGGCATCTGCTTCAACATAGAAGAATCTTTTAGTTTCCGAAACTTTATTATTAAAATTGTTAATGAAGTTAATATATCTTCTAAACTATGTATAAAGTTATCTATTTTTCCCCAGTTTGTGCGACAAAACTCAACGTGACAAAGAACTATGTTCTCACGTATGTTTCTTACAGAAAGCTATGATATTCTTGAGAAATTTCGATAATGTTGCAATTGTCGAGCTCACTTATTACAGTATTCACATTTTTATAACTGATTAGCCTTTGATACTTCTTCTAATTTGTTTTTTGTTCTTTATCTTATTGATTTCCTTGAACAACGATACGTACGATTCTAGTTTTAATGTAAAGGAGACGAGTTTTGTGATGACAAATTAGTATTGTGTTTGTGTTGCAGAAGTTTTTTGAATTCTCAGTTATCAATTTTAGCTGCTCAAGTACGGCGAGTCAACGCAATGCGTGTGCATTCAGAAAAATGAAAACATGATTTCCAGATCCTGCTGACTCTTGATCTTTTCAAGCTGAAATTGCCGAACGAGTGCGACGCTAACTTTGTTGAGATATTTAAAGAGCGGACGGACATGTCTTCAAGAGAGAGAAAATTCTGTGGCAGTATCGCCGACACCATCCTCTTGTCAACTCATATCGCCCACTTGAGGTTTTATGCAGAACCGAAAGCTTTGAATAGTAGCTTTGAGGCGGTGATAACCTCCGTCAGGGAAAAGAGCGGCGAGAAATGTAAGTTCATTTAACACACAATAATGTATATATATCTGTAGCCGAATACATTTTTGAAATATCGAATTTAATACAAGAGCATAAATCAAGCTGTTGTTAAAATTCAACATTAATGTCATCATAAAATAAACATCACGGATGGGAGTTTAAAAATTTATTATTAAATAGCAGAGTATGTCTGTAACTATATTAAAATACAAAATTATGATATAAAGCAATATGATAATCGATTAATGATATTATGAATTTAACATAACTATTATGTATTGTTATAACTATTGCGAATGGCATTTTTTTGATGAATTATATTAATAGTATATATTTTACATTTTATGTATATTATTTATAATATTAATACTATAATATAGTATAATTTCAAAGAAAAATTTGTGCGCGACAGATAAAATTTAAATCTAAACGATAATGCCATAAAATAAGCAGCATATCTTTTATGATATTCTAAATGAATAATATTTGAATGTGTTAGGCTTAATGAAGTTAAAATATGAATTTACATTATATCGTACTTTATAATTATTTATCGCCAAAAGATAATATGCTTTAATTAATTACTAATTAACTGATCCCATAGAAAGATTATTTATATGCATAATCTATTTTATAATAATGAAATAAATTAATGTTCAGCTAATTAGTTTTATTTTAACAATAGTTATTATATATATTTACAGAAAACAAAATAAGATATGAACTATTACATCAACATTTTTTTATATAAGATATTCAATATTTTTATATATGACAAATTGTAGAAAAATAATTTTATCAAAATAGGAACAATCAATTTTTTTTGTTCATAAATACACTCTTTCTAAGGAAAAAAAATTAATTTAAAAATTTTTGAATAACCTGGAATTGAAATTAAAGTCAATGTTCCTAAAAACGTTTTCTACATACAACCAATATTTCTAACAGTTTTTAACAGTACGATAGTATAACGTCAATTTGCTTTTAGCAGTTCAAACTACACAAGCGAATTATCGTTGCGGTTGCGATAACAACGTGGAAATTTCCTACATGACACTCCAGAAGTATCTGCTACAATTTCACAAAATTTTTTTCCCATGTGTGTCCAACTCATATATCCATATACCGTATGGATTTTTATTTTACGATCTCTCGAATTGCACGGCCACCAACGCAGTTGTCGCGTCAACTTTTGTTTTGAGTTAACAAGTCACAATGTTAATCCCTGCAGATGACAAATAGCTTAACAATATTTTAAGCGCTATTTTTAGCTCTATTTTTCTATGTCAATATTTAGTAAATATCTATTTCTAAAACAATATGAAAAATCTGAAACGTAATACATTAGATGCGAATTAAAATCAATATATTTTACGTATTTTAATAACATTTTTGATTATAACTTACTCTTCAAAATAAGTTCTCGCTTTTAAAATAAGTGCTTTATGCGTCGGTCGAGAAATTCCTGAAAGAGCAAGTAAAATTAGATTATTACAAGACAAAGGCTTACATTTTTGCATTTTAGTCTATAATTATATATATGCTTCATTCAATAAGCACCTTACGCTTAGCGAGAAGTTAGGGATAATCGTTGGGCAAAGGAATCAAATTTCAAATTAATAGCAGCGTACTCGTCTGAATGTTAAATGAGGTGGCCCGCAGAATCGCAGTTACGTGTGCGGAATTCACACGGGTTCTAGTATGGCATGAGAAGAATTTCCGGCTTTCCACACCTGCTGCCAACGCGGGATTAATATCTTGCTCGCAACTACACTCCAACACATCTCCGTCGAAGGATAAGGCCTTAGGCTACAATTTTCCTATGCGAATTGAGAGTCGACTATCATGGTTATTCCACGGAAGCACGTTTCGGAAGAAGTATTTAAGCTCGCTATAAATTTACTGAAAATTTTACATATCTCCTGCATATTAACGTTATATATTGTATGTACGTGGAGAAACTCTATGATTATAATATTATAATGAAAATTAATTTTAGATATAATTAAATTCTTATATTTAACGCACAGGATAGATAGAATTAATTAATTGGCGGAAAATTAATAATTAAAAGGGAATATAGAACTTAAGATATGTATTTATCGATATTTCTTAATTCATTTGATAATAATTGATATTCGCAACAAGATGTTTCTTTTTTTATTTTGCAGGCCGTGATGATGAGTATGATTGCGAGGATGCGACATGTATTGCCGCGGATTTGGAGTGCAACGGTAGAACGAACTGCCGCTTCAAGTGGGACGAAGATGATTTAAAATGCAATGTGAGTTTTAGTTGTAGCGAAATCTGATTCAATTCCGTTCGTTTAACCATCTAACGGAACGCTATCCAATTCCCGGATTTGGATCATTTCCGGTGCGTCCACAGGTTGCATCCTTCCATGCAGTTTGCTCGCCTTCCACTTCCTCACAAATTTTCACTGTTCGTTCTACAGATTTTCATCTTTCCATAAGCCGTAAACTACGAAAGTTAAATCGCATGAAACAGCGGAAGCTTGCAGAATGGCGTGAGATTAATTTAGATTGAGAATTATAAAGATAACTTATGATATTTGTGATATCTCAAATTAAGAATTATAAAACCCAAAAAATAATATTAACATAAACTAATAAATCAAAATGTTCCTCCTACTATCAACTTCCATTAGAATTTTTACTATCTGTTTTGATATTCTTAATCAGTCAAAAATCAATCTTTTTCGATATTTTTATTATTTTATTATTTAATACCTCCTATTAAGGACTATAAAATTTCTATTAAAAATAGCCTTTAGAATTCTTTTTTTAAACTTCAAAGTAAGAAATCGTGTTTACTGTTGTTTATTATTTATTTTAAATGCAAAAATGCTCAATTTAAGTGCTCAATTTATATAAAGTAAATTTCTATCATAATCCTTTAAATTGAAGAGAATCTATAAATTTCCTAAAATTAATAATAGGATAAAATCAAATTTTGAATCGAGCAAAGATACATCTTACGGGAAATGCATTTTTCAAGCGTTATCATTACCGTTGGAAATATAAATATAAGTATTTGAAATATATAACCACAGAATCGGGCTATTTGCATCTTCAAATAACATTTCCACTTGCTACGATCTAGCAACATCTTCTGTTAGTTCACTAAAACCATTCGCGCATATTCTCGTTCTGTACCACGAAAGTGTACCCATATTACAGTGTAGCAAGAACGATACATCGCGTCGTCTTAATTGCCCTCTGAGCTTCCACTTTACTTGCTCCTGATCTTCCAGGTTAATTAATTTATTCGAGGGAAGTTTTATGGCCCCCTCTAGTTTAACTGGCTCGGCGAACAAGACATCTTAGAACTCGTAATCTTGGAGCGGCAATTTGCTTCTTCTAATTGCGAACAAAATCAGTTTTATAGGCCGCTTTTGTCTTTTCGCATAATTCTATTCTCTTTGCTTTCTGAGCGACTTTTACATTGCATCATTATTAAATGCTACTGTCATTATATTTTCATTTTATATTTTCACTATGAATTACTATTCTAGTTAAATCTAAGATTGTAAAAAAATATCTGATTTAAAAGAAATAATATAATTAAGTATAATTAAGTATATAATAATTAAGCATAATTATAATTAAATTATAATGAAATTACATTATAGTATTCTTACAATGGCCATATTGATTTTGAAAGTAAAACTTTTACGTAAGGAACCATAAGTTGATTCTCGAAATAGCCTATGAAGAGATACTGTAGAAGACAGAATTATTTTTAAGGTGCAAATGGTAAATTTTTTTAGAATATTTAGAATACTTAAATTTGTTAGAATACTTAAATTTTTTTAGAATACTAGAATATTTTTTTAGAATAGTGAGCAGTTCATGATCTAACGCTAAATGTTAAGAGACTTCGTCTCGAGAATTTTATAGTCTTTTAGCTAGGATTATCCATAGTTTCTAGAAAGCTCACTTCACATCATCTAGCTTGAGCTTTAGGATATGAAATCTTGTGGTAAGACGCGTTAAAACGTAATCACTCGACGATCTTTTTATACTTCATATTTTACTACGTATTTTTATTTTAATTAAAAGTAATAATAGCTAGAAAAGGATGTTTAATATTCGTAATATATCGATTCAAATAATTTACATTTAAAATAATTTATAATAATTTAAAACAATTTCATTTGCTATAATGTTAATAAAATTGAAGCCGTTGAAAGGAACATTAATTATCGTTAGTTTAAATGACGTAGTTAAGATAAAGCTTACGTAAATTATTTCAAGAAATTCTCCGATTATTACTTGACATTTTCAAAATTACATCGTTTCTCTAAATCTTCATCTACAATGACGAAGATATACGACGATATACTATACATTTTATATCATTTAAATATTTGTCAATTTGTATTCAATGTTTACATATGATGTTAAACAACCTCGCAGGACAGCTAGCTGTTTGCTTTGATTTACCACGGTTTCTTATTTGTTAATGCCAAACCACGATCTCACGAGAACCGTTTCAGTGACTTAATCGCTCTTCAACCTTGCAAAACGTTTCGTGTCTCCGTCTCTTCCGCTCTCATTCTTGCCTGTAGCACCGGGCTAATTAATTTATTCGGACCAAATTTTGCAACGGGCGCGGGTTTCGCGAGAGTCCCGATCTCGTGGATGCGCAATTCCAAGGGCGCTCTCCCTCGGTGATATTCGGATGTGCGCCCCGACGGTTATACGGGTGGGTGTTTCCGGTTCCGGGACATACAATACTACGCGCTTTTGGCAGACTACCAGAACAAGGCAACGGCGAAACGACGCCACGACGGCACGATGCCACCGACGGGATATTAATCTAACGGCGAATAATGCTCTTCTGATATTACCGCACGCGACTTTGCTGATGTTTTTCCGTGTTTTTATCTCAATCGTTTTAGACTGAATGCAACATTTGAGTCGTGCAGAATGTGAGAATGGCGAACGGATTGAACAACTTGTAAATGATGAAAATTAGAATAATGATATTAGAAGATTCTTCTATCGAGATCCGATTACTATATACTTATTGACATTTTTATTATATCAATTTTATATTTTATTTCTTATCTTTTACAGATCATTAAATTGATGTGAATTGATTAAATTGGTGTGAAAATAACATGAATGTGAGTGGCTAAAATCCATCATTGTTCATTAATGTTATAAATAGCTATAAAATTGAACAATTATCGGGTTCTAAAAAGCATCAATACTATTCGTGCACAACGAGAAAGTATTTCCTGCATAAAGTTCTTGTTTCGAACAATTTTGTTTCAATAAATTTATTATTTTCAATAGTCTCTGGAAATGTGCTATCAACGGCAATTGCCTGTCAAAACTGCTCGTAATTTGAAGCACTTATTTTTGTTAAATGCATTTGATTTTTGCATACGAGCAAGTAAAAAAAATTATTATTTTAGTTTTTATGACCAGCGGGATGAATCACGAGATAACATTTAATTATGACATCAAAAAAAATAAATTAATCATAAAAATGCTAGTATTCCATATTATAGTAAAAAGAAATTTTTATTGCAGATAAAACGATTATTCTTTTATACTTAAAATGTTGGAAATGTAATATTTGTTTGACACATACATGATAATAATATTATTTATAAATAACATTAATATTTCTGATACTTCTGAACTGAAAAATTTTTAGCATTTTAGCTGTTAAACACACGCGCTTGTCATGCGTCGGATTTGATGCAGATAACTTCAATTCGCACAAATGATTGTAACTAAATGGCCAGTGACTATTAATATCTTCTACAGTGACTATGTACAATACGCACTTTGCCGCTTTGTTAGTCAAAAATAAACATTTTCACTCACTTGTCAGTCGCAACATAGCAACGAATTTATTGCACAAATGATAGAAAAGCGACTATTTACTTCGACGACACATCCATCCGAATGTCATTTCATCGAATAAATCAATGACAGAGAAACATATTAAATTAATTTGACAATGATTAATTATTAAAAGATTATCATATGTGATAAAAATTTTTAAAATTTTTTATTAACAAAATTCACGCTAATAAGAATCTAACTGAATTTTTGTTTTTAATTATAGAAAAACTAATTAGGTACTCTTGTTACTTACTATTTTATGTTTTATTGTAAAAAATTTAATTAACAACTTAATTATAACTAATATACACTTACTTACTTATAACTAATATACTCTTGATATCAATTTAGAATTTTCTGAACTTTGAATTTGCTTGCATCTTTAACATATAACTATAGTATTGTATTATTTCCTTTTCATTTAATTTTTTATTGAATAATATAAAATGGAATTTTTGCAGAAAAGAATTCAAAGTCATAGTATTCCTACCTTTACGCTAATATTGCATTTGCTTTCACATCGTCAGTAAATGAGTACGCGTCCCTGTAAAATTACTTGAAAAAGATGAGCGCTCGTGAAACGGCTTGGAATTAAATCTCATTTCTTCATGCCGATTCCGATTCTTTCACTAATGGATGAAACTTCGTTCCAGGATTACTTTAATGTCGACATCAAAAACAGATACTTTGAGATATTTTGTACTAAGCATTTTATTTTATATTGCCACCGATTGCTTGTTTCATTATAAGCAAAGGTTTTAAATTATAAGTAAACGTTCGTATTCGTACTTTGAATTTTTCTCTCATGATGCATTTATATTGATTTAAGTAACAAAGAATAAAATACATATGAAAATAATTATATTTGAGCATTTTGCATTTAGTAATATTTATTATTATTGCTTACAACTTATTGCTTACTCTTCTGTTACGAAAATCATTTGACAGTTAATAATAATTAGATACAAACACGATACTTTTGTTGGTTTAAATTTTGCGCAACTTAAATTACAAATAAATTCCTTGCTAAAGGAAAGTTATTTCTCTTTTTAAGTAATTACATCATGGGCCACGCTAAAGATGCTTGTACCATACTAATGTAATTTTGAAAGTACACAGCTCGTAAATTATTCCTCAATTGAATGTAATGAATGCTATGCAACGAATGGCTTTAATTTCACTCATAGTAATTGTAATTGAAGTGTATTATAGCATATATATATATATATATATATATATATATATATATATATATATATATATACTCTGACAATTGAATGCTGTGTGCAATGTGAAATTTTTTTAATTTTAAAAACTGGAAGCGCAGAAACGAGATCACGATGAAATTAAAGTAGATTCTTGCATTTCAGCGTTACACGCCATCATGCTGTAATTTAAT